AAACACTTCCAAATGTTTGAGTGTCATGTTCCTTTGAGATGTTTGGAGAAAGCTCTCCGCGAAACACATTGTGAAAATTTCGCAATCAAAGTCGTTTTGTTGCTGAGTAACCTTGATCGTGCCGACTTCTATAGTGATGCTCTTGCTGCTTTTCTTGCTCTTCTTGAGGAGATTCCATTCGCTTGTTAGAAATCAGTAACGCATATATCGAAACACTGAAAAACATATATACATCATATATGCAAACACCAAGGGAAAAAAATGCTACACCAACTGGTAAATCAAAGAGCATCAAGATACACAAAGGCACAGTCATGGTTCATAAGCAAACGAACGGGTTGCACGGTTAAAGCACTAACGTTATTCGAGAACGCAGCCTCTTGGTATTGATGATGGAGTTGACTAGAATGGTGATGCATTTGTTTGTTTGCCATGATGAGCAAACGCTTCAAGCTTGGGAAGGTAAACACAAAGAACTTATTCAACTGCTACAAGACAATGGATTTGACGCTTCTCCAATCCATAAGGCTTTGGTCACGAAAACGAAGAATCTTGAATGTTTGTCATAAGAAAGAGCGGCTAATGAGCAAGAGATCTCGGATGCACGTAAAAGCCATGATAACTTTAAGAGAGATATTGATTTGGCGGAGGAAAAGATTGAAGTTTTAGAAGAGTAAAGGAAGAAAACAGATTTTTGGTAAATTGTTTCTGTGAACAGACCGATGTTTCTTAGTTCTATTTAACTGTTTTGTATTTGTTAGAAGATATTGATTTGGCGGAAAATAATTATTGATTTAGAAGATATTGATTTGGAGAATCATGCTAACAAAAACAATATCTTGTAACATAAACAAAACAATTAAATAGGACAGAGAATCATCAGCTTTTTCATAGAAACAATTTAATAATGGAAAAATCATTCTTAACTACACGAAGTATTGGCTAATAGGTTGCAAACCATCCCAAGTATAGAAATGTGTTTTAAACTACACAGACTATTATATAATATATGGTGACATACACCAAGTATATGTAAACATGTTAAAAACTACTAATTGATACTTTTTGATAATAATTTATCAATTTGGGGATCACTTTGTAATTATTTTTCATAAAAAACTTTTTTTTTATGAAAATCCAAAAGACTAAGAACATAAAAAACTTAACAAATCGAAAGAAAATCTATACAATTTCAAAAATATAAGGAAAAAATTATATTAAATTTTAGAAAAA